TATGCGTGAGAGCAGAGAGCAGCCACGGACGACTATTACTGCTTTGGACAGCTAGGCTGCTCTGCTGCCTACGCGCCAGACAGACTGAGGTCCTACTGTTGCAATCACCACGAGGGACTCTAGAAGGAGGCTTTTCTAATAAAGTTTACACTCCAAGGCTCAGAACTGGCTTGGCTGTCACAGGCACCCTTCTGTTCCAACTCTACAGATCCCACCGGTAAGGTTCCTTCAGAGCACTCACAGAACCCTTATCTGCATTGCTCTCACGGGGTTTAAGCATTTGCAGACACACGAGTACAGTAAAACCAAAGTTTCAGACCCCACAGCACTGGCCAGCAGCCAGATTTCTGTATTCCAGTGCACAAGAGGCCAGAGATGCCAGGCTCCTTCCCTCTTGGCAGTTCTGAGGTTTGGTGCAGCAGACTCACCTTTCGGACGCCTCATCATCATCCCACTTGACCAGGGTGATGCTCATCCAATTTTAGGGAGGGAAGAATTTTCCCTTCAGTTAAACTAACAGGCTCTTTGGTGGAGTTTTACAGACTTTTCTTGGAGTACAATGGGAGGGATCCATACTGAGAACATCTGACACCTTCATTAACCACCTTCCCAACACTGCAAAGGTCTTCCAAAAAGTCCCTGCCGTTCTCTGCTGGCACCATGCAAGGCAAGGGCTAAGGGTTATCTTCCAACATATTTTTTTACCTTGATATTTAGAACAAGATCGAATAACCCAGCGATCTCTTGAGACTTAAGTTGTCATTACATGCAGGCAAGGGAGAGGTCAGATTGCTAAGGGCTGCAGAACACTATTCCAGTAATAGAACAATCAATGAACATCTCCAGTTGACCACAAGAGCTTGAGGAGTGACTGTTTGTATCATTTCCCTATTGTAAGCTTTGGGGAAAGAAAAAAAAAAAAAGGAGGGGGGGGGGGGGAAAGGGGGTGATGGAAAATCATTTGAAGTGCAAAAACATTTAAAGAAGTTCAATTCCGTGATTTTACTGCAGCAGAAAACTACGGTGGAACCTTTGTGAATGCTTTTCTTTTAGAATCTGAAGTTTCCTGTTCTCACCTCTAAGTGACTTGCCAATCGGTCCCAGGATTCAGTTAAAACACATATGGTAGAAAAGTATGTATCAGGGTACGTACCATGGGTTATATTAGTAATTTAGTAATTTTTTGTCAATGCTTTCCCATGACAAGCTGCAAAATCAGTCCTTATACTGAAGATTCCATTCAATGATATTCTACAGTCAACTTACTCGCTAAAAAAAGGGAACAAAGGCGGTTCTGGGTTCTCTAACTGACTGAAGCCCCTTTTCCTGAATTTTCATTTTAATACAGAAAATTATATATTCCTCAAAAGCCTTGACAGTGCCTACAACAGCAACTGCTGAAGACACTGCACTAGTATGAAATATTAGATGTAGTATTGCCTCCACTTATGTGTGAAAGTATTTTCAACTTTTACTTACCCCTTCATTTTTTTTGAAAAGTGACTGAAGTTTAAGATAATGAGTGACAAAGGAGAACAGACAAAATGCTTACTGTTGTTCAAGAACCCTGGTTTGGAGGTTGGTTGGTTTGGCTTTGAGATATAAGAAGTACTTCTCTAGAATCCTCTTGTTAACTTCATACAGTAAAAGCCAGAAAGGTATAATCCATCATCTCCCTGCAATCACATACCAATATGGTAAATACTGTTTTCACTGCAAACCCTGAGGTGTTCCTTTACGTTCTTTGGACCCAGGAATTCTACCCTTGACTTCCTAACAAGTTGTGTTAGAGATTTTGGTGTAAGTTAAAAGCAGCCAACAAGCCCAGAAGTGACAAGACGTTGTTAGAGCTAATTGAGCAAAGAAGAATTGATGTTTAGCGTTACACAAAAGGTGCCCAAACTCAGGCACCTGAGCTACGGACCACCACATTTTTCATGTTGATGCAAAATTAACATATAGGTGGTTGAACTTCTGGATGCTGCAGCTCAAACCCTGAATATTTTCCTCCTGCAGACTGGATGCGAAAGAGGAGTTTCACAGGTAATTAAAACGTGGTTACTTTACATGCAAAGTTCAGGTAAGGAAACCTGAAAATAACAACTTAAATTATGATTTCAGCATATAATTGCTTCTCATAAAAGCAATTTTGTTTAGCAAGTTTTAATACCTAGAAATACCTCCCTGTGGGATTTTTGACTTTTTTTCCAGGAAAAATAACCAGAAGATATCAAACTACGACTATTCACTCAGATGACATATATATCCAGTCAGATTAATGGTTACACTTTTATCTCTCTATACAGTTATTAACAGATATACTTATTTCTTTGGAATTCTGATAGACCAAAACAAAAAAATAGGATTATTTAAAAAGAAAAGATAAATTGTTTAGGCTTTAAAACTCTTAAAATACCTCTAAATCATTTTCCAGAAGACATCTGGTAACACAACACCCATGGTGAGCATGGACATACTGGAGAGCCCAGCAAAGGACAACAAAGGTTAACTGGAGCACTGACATACGAGGAGAGGCTGTGAGAGCTGGGACTGTTCAGCCTGGACACGAGAAGGTTTGGGGGATTTTACCATGCGTGTTAGTACCTGATGGAGGTCCAGGGAAGAAGATGGACTCAAACTCTTCTTAGCGGCACATAGTGACAAGACAAGAGTCAAGGAAGGTCACAAACTGAGGTAGGAAGTTCTGTTTAGTTATAAAAATGCCTTTTTTTCTGTGAGGACGGTCAAACACTAGAACAGGCTGCCCAGAGAGTGTCTGTCCTCAGGTCAAAACCTGAGTGGACACAGACATGGACAAACTACTCTGGCTGAGCCTACTTGAGTGCAGGGGTTGGGCTGGGCAATCTCTGGAGGCTGCTTTCAATCCTGACAGTGATGCAATTGTCAAGGCTATACAAAAAAAGTATAGATTGACCTCACATCAATACTTGGAAATGGTATTTTTTTGATCAAAGTATGCCACTCAAGAATATGTAAAGTTCTTCCACTTCCACAGAAAGACATGTATATCTGTTGATGCAACTGCCTTGTTCTGCATATTTGTTTGGGTTTTCCTGTGTACCACAAGCTATCCCCAGAGTGTATCCAGGGATATAGAAATTTTTGTTTCTGTTTCCACTATAATTTGATTTTTTAAGTATGCTTCATACATTTTAAACTGTTAATTTCCAAGTTTTAAGGAAGCTAAACAAAATGGAATCTGAAAGTTTACACACCTTTCTGTGACACATTTTAGACTTAAGCTGTTCCAACACAAGAGTTTAAAAAATGTTCTCAGTTTCAGAAGAGTGGTACACTGATCATTCTTCACTTTGTTACATGAATATTAAGTGAAACTGGTGACAATCCATAAGCAAACTGCAGTAATAAACCCAGAACTTAAAAGCAGTCAAGCTCCTCGGTACTGTGGAAGCATGAATCCTCTCACAATGACAGGAGAATGAAATTTTTAAACAGCATATTCAAATCAGTGGGGGGGGGGGGGAGGGCAAATTTACAACTTTACAATCATTTTATATCTGAAAACAAATTGGGGTCACACCTGGAAAGGCCCACTGCTTTTATGGCTATTTCTCACAGTACATAAGCTTTCTGTTGATTCAGAAGGATAGTTTCAGCAGGCCCTAAGGCCCTGCGGTACATCAGGTAAAGCACTTGGTGTGAGCCTTCTCCTTGGTATAGTCAATGATCCACCAGTAGAATCTAAATTAGACTTAAACAGCTACATCTTCCTTTGCCTGTGTAACTTCAAACTGCCTATGGTTCTTGTTTCATACACAGAAGAAATACCTTTAGATTACTTTAGTTACCTGCAGTGTTGATTATATATAGACAGCACATAAAAGTATACTAACTTTGTGTAAATCAAGATTTTATGGTTTATTGCATTTGTTTACAATTTTTGTGGGGAATTTTTGGGTGTAGCTTGACCTGAAACCATTAGATATATCTACATACTTGCTTTTGGTTTGTGGTTTTTTAAAAAGATTCAACTCTTCGTCACACAGTGATCATTCTCTACATTCATCTTCTGTAGCTCTCTCAATTCCAGTTTTCCCGAGCTCATGAGTACTGACACTAATGAAAAAGTACAAGTTTACACACACCTATACAAACAGACAAACTAGATAGATTATTGCAGATAAGGCTTTTTTTTTTTCTTTTCCTTTTTTTTGTATGTATCTATAAATCTGTTTAAACCAGGCACAGAGTACTTTAGAATACACAATACTGAAAGCCACCTATGGTAATCTTTGAAGGTTAGGTGTTTGCAAATTCCACAGTCAAGCACTTATCCCTATAGCTTTAACTATGAACACACAGACCTTTTATTTCCTCAGCACTTCAAGCAAGTCGTACCTTAAACACAGCGGTGCTAAAACTGTACCATATTTACCAGAATAAGACTAGAGATGAGATAATTCGGTGCCACCATGTGCTATTCAACCGTGTGCTTTACTTCACAACAGAGCTGACTGCTCAAAGGACAGTCTCACAACAGTGAAAAATCATGCACAACTGAACCGAGAGCAGGCAATGGCAGGGCACTTAGGTACAGCGTCGAGGTTCATCGTGGAGCACGACAGTAAAAAGTACTGGCCACAACAGAGAACCAGTACTTACACACACAACTTAAGAAAAACTGCATTATCAAACTGCACTTTTACATGAAGTTCAAGCACAAACTTTTTCCAATATCCCAAATTTGCCAGAAAGCTTTGAAGAACGCACCCACCCCCTCCCACTCCCACCCAACTTTTAACGATGTATAATTCTGAACATTCAATTCCACATTAAATCACAAAATATGCACTTGCTTTTCAACCACCTGTGAATTTAACAACAAACCCTCACAATTTAAGATTAGCAAATGCATTTCCAAATTTACAGCTTCATGTAACATTACTAATAATATGTCTTATTAAAGAAATTCTCTCAAAACATACATACAATAGATAGTGTGGGTAAAGGACACAGTGAACACGTTATTTCCATTCTCTCTAACAAATATCTAGTGATTATGTGCAGTGTTTTAATGCTAATGTCAAAAATTATGTGATTCTTCTTCTTCCAGTCCTGTTCTACTTGCAAGAGGAATTAGAACTTCAGAAGTGCACATACAACATGGACTGTGAAGAGTGAAAATTAGTGCTTGTTCCACATAGGTGCTGCTATAGGTCCCTGCGGAGCCCTTTCAACAGTCACAAATTCATCAGGGTTGTCGAAAGCTTCATAGTGGATCAATAAATCTTGAATAGCACACTCCTCGATCTGGAAGGAAGAAAGAATACGGATGTCACTGGCAAATCTACACTTACACCAGTAGCATGGTTATGATCTGGCTTTACTGCTCCTGAATGCATGTCTGCTACAGATCTCCTGACCAGGAAGAAGGAGTAGGTAAGGCCTTCTTCAGACAACCTGAAGAAGCCTCCTGTCTGCAAGCCCTGATCCTCCTGGGAAACTTAAGCCACCATGGTATCTGCTGGAAAAGCAGCTAAGCAGGGGCGCAAGCACTCCAGAAAGTTTGGATTGGTCAAAACTTCCTAACACAGACAATGAAGGAGCTGATGAAGGGAGCCACTCTGCTGGATCTCATACTGACAAAGAAGGATGGGTCAGGGATGAAAAGGTCAAGGGCAGGGCAGTCTTGGCTGCAGTGACCCTGAGATGGTGGAGCTCAAGATCCCGAGAGATGGGAACAAGACAAATAGCAGGATAACAACCTAGAACTTCAGAAGAGAAGACTATGAACTGTTCAGGGATGTGCTTGGAAAAAATTCATGGGATAGGACCCTGGGAAGAAAAGTGGTCCAGGACAGCTGGTCAATTTGAAGAACAGCCTCCTTCAAGATCAGGAATGGTCTGTGTCAATGAGCAGGAAGCCAAGTAAGAGTGACAGGAGACCTGCATGGACAGAAAGAGAGCTCCTGACAAAACTAAAACAGAATGGAATCATAGAAGAGGCTGAAGTAGAGAAAGGTGATGCAGAAGGAAAATAGACACTGAGCACACAGGAATAAAATTAGGAAAGTCAAAGCCCCTCTAGAGTTGAATCTGCTGAGGGACATGAAGGGCAACAAGAAAGGCTTCTACAACATCAAAGAAGATGGCATGGGCCCACTGCTGAATAACAAAGGACATGGAAAAGGCTGGGGAACTAACAGGTGCCTTCATCTTGGTCTGTAGTGGCAAGATCAGCCTTCAGCAACCCCAGGCTGCTGAGATCAGAGCTGGCCAATATGACTGCAAGCCCATTCAAAAAAAAAAAAAAAAAAACCACACAAACAACCACAACACCTTAAAAGGCTGTGGTGATAAGGATTGGTTCCTGAGGACTGGAAGGAAGCAAATGTCATTCCTGCCTTCAAGAAGGACAAGGAGGATCTGGATGACTACTTACCAGTCACCCTCATCTTGATCCCTAGGAAAGTGGTAGAGACTAAGTATGAACCATGAGCTTAAATGGACAAACTTAAGAAAGACAATATAAAGAGACAGTGAGACAGACTGAAAACTGGCTGAACTGGTGATCTCAAAGACCTGTGATCAGAGGCACAAAGTCCAGCTAAAGGCCAATCACTGGCACCAATACTCAGACTGAGTCTGGGGCCAGTACTGTTTAACATCTTCATTAATTACCCGCATGAGTATATCAAGCAGTTGGAGTGAGCCCAGAGGAGGCCACGAAGATGATCAGAGGGCTGGAGCACCTCTGCTATGGGGACAGGCTGAGAGAGTTGGGCTTGTTCAGCCTGGAGAAGAGAAGGCTCCGGGGAGACCTTATTGCAGCCTTCCAGTACCTGAAGGGGCTACAAGGAAGCTGGGGGGGACTTTTTACAAGGGCCTGTAGTGACACAACAAGGGGTAATGGGTTTAAATTGAAAGTGGGGAGGTTTAGATTGGCTATCAGGAAGAAGTTCTTCCTGGAGAGGGTGGTGAAGCACTGGATCAGGTTGGCTAGAGAAGCTGTGAATGCCCCATCCCTAGAAGTGTTCAAGGCCAGGCTGGATGAGGCTTTGAGCAACCTGGTCACTTCTGGACTTCCCAGTACAAGTGAGACATGGACATATTGGAGACAGTCCAGTGAAGGAACACAAAAATGAGAGCATCTCAGAGATGGAGAGACGGGAACACTGAATTGGTTTATCGTGGAGAAGAGAAGGCTTAGGGAGATCTTATCAAAATGCATAAGTCTCCGATGGGAAAGAACATGGACGACTGAGCCACAATCTTCTCAGCAGTGCCCAGTGAGAGGAGAAGAGGTAAAGGGCACAGACTGACATACAGAAAGTTGCATTTTAACTATAGAAGTATTTTCTACTGTGACAGTAACTAGACACTGGAACAGGTTTCCTAGAGTCTCCATCCTTGCAGATATTCAAAAGCTGCCCAGACATGGCATTGAGCAACTCACTCTAACTCATCCTACTCTGAGCTGGGGTTTGGATTATGCAATTTCCATAGGTTCCTTCTACCTTCAACCATTCTCTGATGCTGTGGATGCATTAGTCATGGACTCAGTAGTCAATTTAACTTTAATATACGCCTACCTTATCAACGAGCAATGTGAAGTTGTTAATAAATTATACTTAATATTGTTATGTACATGACACTTAAGAGTACCAACACATGAATAGTCCTAAAAACTGATCTCTGAAACAGCCATTGGAAACTCCTTGTGTTACTTTACAGCTGCAGTAACTCAGCACTTTACCTGGATCAAAGCCAGAGGTTTTTCTCTGCTCCAAATAAGAGCAGCTTCTTGCTGGAGCTCTTCCTCTACAATAGCTGAAAACATAACAGGAGCTATCACAGGAGAGCTAGTTGGTGACGCTGCTGACCAAGGACTGCAAAACCAAAAGACATTATGAGACATCAAGAACAAGGTTGGCACAACACACAGAAAACCAGCTCCAGAACCTAAACCCCTGTCAAACTTACTTATGACTCTCAAGCTGTGGAGAATCCAGAACATGGTCTTCCAAACCTGGGATACTTCTAGTGGTGCACCTGGAAAAAGATAAGAAAGGATATGGAAAAAGTCACTGACAGAGCATTCTCCTACATCATAGTGTGAAGCACAAATTTACAGCAGGCAATTACAAATTTGTATGGTTTTTTCCCCAGAAGAAAGGCATTAGGATGTAATGCAGAATTTGTCTTGAAGTGTGATAACTGTGACTAAAGGAGACACTGATGCTCATTTCTGACTACCAGAACTGAATAGATTTTCAGCTTGAGTGTTAATTCTGGCATTCCCTAATATTTGAACATTTCAAAGGTGCTTTTTTAATTTAAATTTTTAAAAAAGGTTATTTGCATGTAATGTACCCAACTGAGTTATAGACTAACAGCATTGACTATTAATGTCTGCAATTAATATGAAAAGAACATGGCTTCAAGATAAAACAAACAAATAACTGCCCTGTATTCAAATTAAGCTTTTCATGTGAAAGAACCAGTGCTGCAATAGCACTAGTAAATTATTTCCTCAAGCATAAGCCCAGAAATTATGGGCTTTTAGTACATATCCTGTAACTACCTCCCACGTTCATAATAGCATAAAACTAGAATTAACAGAATTGGGGAGGAGCGGGGGGGGAAATCAATAAAGAGTTCTCAACAGGAAGATATTTTATTCAGTTGCAAAATGTTAACCTCTCAACAAAAGTCAAGCTTGATGTACTGCATGTCTTAAGAAACAAGTAGATTTGTCAGAAAAACCCTACATCAGTAGGAAGCAAAGGACCTATTCTTGTTATTTAATACCTACCTTTAGCAACTTTTGCAATTTCCAGAACTCTAGAAAGTGTGTTACAGCGTACGATGAAATACTACCAGACCTTTTTGAATTATTTTATAGCATTGTAAAAAACTCTTAAGGATGTTGATATTTCAATAAATCAGTTTCAATTTTCTTTAAGGCTTTGGTAATCCTCTTTAAGTGGCCACAAACTTTTGGAAAAGAGGGGAAAAAAAAAAATCTATAGAAAGCTAAGAGAATTCCAGTAACTGCTAAGTTCTCTGCCTGGAATATTTTCCCTAGAACACAATTCCAAGGACAACAAGAACCATGATTCCTACCGTTAAGCAATGAGGGCAAGATCTCAAAAAATATGAAATGCAACATCCATCATCAAAAATGCCATTTACATGAAACATGCCCAGCTTTTTGTCACAGAACATAATTTTGCCCAACAAACAGCCAACTACTTGAAGAACAGAATGAATGCAAAATAACTGCTCAGGGAAAAAAAAAAAAATATATATATATAACTGCAGTAACAGCTGCCAGGGCATAACGCTGGACTTCAAAAGAGACTTTCTACAGTGTCAGTCCCTTGAATAAAACCCAGCAGACACGCCTTCTGCCAGGTCATATTGCTTTTGGGTTTCCACTGGGAAAGCACAGTTAGCCAAGATGATCCTTCCCCTGCATTTTCAGTAGAGGTGATCCTATCATAGCTGGCAGGACAGTCAGCGGTACACCATACGGAGAGGCAATCCAAAAGGTGTGGTAGTCTCCAAACCAGACATTTCCAGGTAACTACTATTCCAGAGCTTTGAAAGAACCCGTCATATTGCTTTTGGGTTTCCACTGGGAAAGCACAGTTAGCCAAGATGATCCTTCCCCTGCATTTTCAGTAGAGGTGATCCTATCATAGCTGGCAGGACAGTCAGCGGTACACCATACGGAGAGGCAATCCAAAAGGTGTGGTAGTCTCCAAACCAGACATTTCCAGGTAACTACTATTCCAGAGCTTTGAAAGAACCCTCA